ATCTCAAAGAGAACAGATCTGTAATTGCTCTATTTTGAACAAATTGAGCCAAAATATATTTGCCCTCTGCATACATCTTTATTTGAAAAACACCACCCAAACAAACAACAATAAAGCACTTTTATACCTGAATATTCAGAAACCTCCACAGCAAGACTGGGGAATGGAAAGAGGCATGACAGGTGAGTGCAAGGAGGATGGGTGTGGAAAGGCACACAGTGTACAGATGACTGGAATAATTGCATTTGCAAATATTTGAAATTGATTTGCATTTGCTTGGAGGGGCGATTTCAAATATATGGCTATGCATTAAGTTGGAATTTCATGACTTTTACATTTTCCAAAAGAAAAGGAAGAACCCACTGCGTGGAAATATAGACAAGAGAAGATACATTTTTCTTCAGTAAGTTAGGCAAACTTTGGTAATAATTGCTGTTATTTATTGAGGTCCTCCCCAATTTCTGGGACCAGAATGCATCCCTTTTGTGAGTTTGTTCATCCCTACACACCCATTCTTTTATTTCTCTTACAGTCCCATCCTAACTTAGGCAGAAGAGACAGCTGAATCAAACTGAAGGGATGCTGTGTTCATCACATTACTCCATGCCAGGCATATGTTAAGAATTTTTATGTCTAGTCTTTACAATAAATCTACAAAGGTAGTTATAACTTTAATCTATGTTTCTTTTAAACAAGGGAAGAGGTTCAATAAGTAAAATAACACCCTCCCCATTTGCAAATCAATAATAATGAATAACAAGGGTAATTAATAACAATAGGAACAACTGGTAGAGACCATGTAAGTTTCCAACTACTCCAACTTCAATTTCAAGTGCAAACCCTGAGTCTGGGACCCAAGATCACTTGGTTATATTGGAAAATTCCACAGGAAGAAATTCATCCATCATCACAATTACTGCAATCTTCAGATCTTTTGTTTTATGATTCTTTCTTATCTCATGTCTCCTTTTCTCCTTCCCCCACATGGACTAAAATGTAGTTTTCTAAGCATCCAGATAGATGAGATATGGCAAGCTTTGACATGCAAATATGTGGCTTATGCTATTACAATCTTTATTATAAAAATTATCTTTCTTTATGACAATCACTGTCAAAGCTTCAAATAAATACTTTTTTTTTCTTAAATAAAGATTTCTATTACCATTCAAATGTTCCATTCCAGATATTTCAGGGCAATGCACATTTAGATCTTCCTTATTACAATGTGTTGGCCTTAGTTGACTCACTGTTAAAATAGAAATAACCAGGCCTTCTTTGAAAAGTAGTATAACAATTAAAGATCATTTTTTAGGGCTTCCCCGGTGGCACAGCAGGTTGAGTGCCGTGCTGTGAAGCTGTCTGTAGCCTTCACAGCGCTGGTTCAATTCCAGGCCAGCTAGGGAGAAATTCACATGGGATGGCAGACCTCTCCTGCCGCGCCCACTGCTCCCCTCAGCAGTGTCTTCGGTCTGTCTGCCTATTCTGCTCCCCACTCTGTCTCTGGTGAATTCTCTCACCCTCCTGCGCCTCTGACTATACCCCACTGACTATACCCCAGTTCTTGTATAAATAAATAAATCTTAAAAAAAAAAAAAACGATAATTCTATAAAATGTCCCCTTTAGGGTCTGATTCGTGATAGTTACTTTGTGTTACTACAACTATTGATAATAGTATTAATATATGTGTCTTTCTCTAATAATAAAGTCCCCAATGGGACAACTAAATTATTTAGTTGACAGTTATTTCACTAGGATGCGTTTTTATTTTAAAGTTACTGTAAGGCTAACTACTTAGGATTTAAATCCACAGCACTTTCATTCCTGGGAATTAGAATGGATCAGGCATGGGCCCCCTTAGGGCAGACATCTCTGAAAACTGCAAGTGCAAGAAAAAGGAGTTGAGAAGCCAGAGTGAAAGGGAGAGGAGGGGGGAGGGGAGAAAAGGACATTAATTTAAGAAGCTAAAGGAAAGAACAGAGTTAATGAGGGCTTGAAGCTCTTCATTGTCAATGGCAAAATGCCCTCATCTGGAAGGCTCTAGAGCTTAATGACCACTAGAGGCTGCCCCTCTGCTCATCCCAGCAGGCAAGGGGCTGCCCTAGCTGAGCCAAGTTCCTGCCTACAGGCTGCCTGGCTTTGTGCTGCTCATAGGCTGGATCTGCGGATTCCTGTCCCCTTGTGAAAGCCCATTGTGTCCAACTGAGCTGCTCAAAGACCCTGCACCTCACACAGCTCCAGGGCGTAATCAGAAATTTGTGTACCTCCAGAGGATGAGTTCGCATCAGGGAAGGTCTGTGCGATGGACACACAAGCACACTCAGAGAAATTCATCTTAGTCACATAGACCTATGTCATTGTTCAGAAAAGCAATAAGTGAATGTGAAAGGCTTGTTTTGCTCTGTCGTGAAGTGGTTTAGACAGAGCAAAATTGAAGCACACATCCCAGAGATGGTTGTAGAGAGCACCAGGTCCCGTTAGCAGTCACCTTCTAGCTCCAATAGCACTTATCCAACTAACCTGCTGGGCCTGGAAGGCTCTGCAAGTTAGCAAGAATGAGGCCTCAATGCCCTCGAGCTCTAGGACAACAGCCTCGTATGTCAAAGGCAGCAAGGTGGACAGGCAGAGGGCCACACAAGTCTCCAGAGTTTTAAACTGTGATAATGCCTAAGACTTGGCAATATCTAAACAGTTCGCAGCACTGGGGCTGGGAAATAATTTGCCGTGTGCCTGTTTTGTAGACGGAGGGGTTTATAGTCCAGGACTTGTAAATCTGCAGAAACAGCAACAAAGATGTATTTCAAATGTTCAGGGGTGATCTAGCCGCATAGAGAATTGGGTCCAAAGGGTCTCTGAGCTGATAATCCTCAAATTCTTTTTCAAAGGAAAGACTCAGGAATAATTTCCTTTGAGTGGCCCTTTAAATTTGGAAATCTGTACAGAGCGGGTTTTCTCAAACTACACTACAGATATTTGGGCTAGATAATGCTTTGTGGTGGGGGCTGTCCTGTGCATTGTAGGATGCCTGGCAGCTTTCCTAGCCCCACCTACCAAACCCCAATAATAGCCTTCCTTCCATCAGCGGTGTAACAATCAAAACTGCCTCCAGCAAAACAAGGTTTAATGTCCCCTAGGGAGCAAAATCACCCCCTGTTGAGAACCATTGGTTTTTTTTTTTTTTTAAACCTGAGAAGGCTCTCAGGTAAAAGCCCTGAAGCTTCACCCAAAATACATTGGAAGGCACCCTTATGATTGCCAATCTTACAAAAGACTTTAAATTGCTTACAATTTCCCCTAAGACTAGTTCCAGATCACTAAATAAACTATCCAAGCTTTTTGAATCCAACAGAGCCAGTGTCTACCTGGGAGCAACGTTGACCTCCAAAACAGCAGCTTCTTCATTTTCATTCATTAAATCAGCAAACACTTATCCAATATGCCAGACACATCAAATACACAGAGTTTTGTAAAGAATAACCTGAGGGCCTCCCCGGTGGCGCAGTGGTTGAGCGCTGGGTTGCGAAGCTGCCCGCGGCCTCTGCGGCACCAGTTCGATCCCCAGCTGCTCCCCGGCCACCGGAGGAGGGTCCCACATGGTGCGCAGACCTCTCCTGCCGCCCACTGCTCCACTCAGCAGTGTACTTCAGTCTTTCTGCCTGCTCTGCTCCCTGCTCTGGCTCTGGTGAATTCTCTCACCCTCCCGCGCTTCTGACTGTACCCAGTGCATGTATAAACAAACAAACAAATAAATAAATAAATACATGCCTCTATTAAAAAAAAAAAAAAAACTATAAAAAAAAAAAAAAGAACAACCTGAAGTTCCTCAAGCAATAAAGATTTTTCCTGTTTCCCAAAAAAGTAAAACCATAATGGTATCTGTGAACTGCCAACCCATTGACTCTTCTCTACTCGTTTAGACAACTGGGTCACTTTATCCTTGGGACAACTGGGTCACTTTATCCTTGGGACAACTGGGTCACTTTATCCTTGGGCTCAATCATTGGCCAGCTTGGTTAGGGTTTCATTTTGACACCTCTGTGCTAGTAGGAGCTCAAGATGATAACTTATAGTTTCATAACTGAAGTCTTTCCCCAGATAACTGAGTTCAGAAAGCCACAAACAAGGGGTAAACCATTGAATGAATGGCTATTGTTTGCCAGACACTCTCATATATCTCACATTCTAGCAACAGTGCTGATCAAAAGTTAGCTTTTGATCATAGATGGGTATATTGTAAATGTAGTTGTTAGAGCATGACCAAGGGGTAACCAGGGAGCCCAAACTGTCTAAAAAGGAGTCCGATCGCCCATGCACAAACAAAGCATACACCTAGTGTGAAAGATTTTTAGTAGAATTGGTATATAGTGAGAGAGAGAGAGAGAGGGAGAGAAGAAAGGATTTCATGTAACAGCAAACTGAAAATTACCAATCCCCTCATGGGCAAAGGCCCAGTCAAACAGGCTTATCTTAAAGAGGGACAGCTGAGGCCCAAAAACTTGCCACAAGTCTAAGTTACCTTGTGGTAGAGAACCACAGAAAGCGGTTACACAAGTCCCAGGGAACTGGGATAGGAGAGACTCAAAATTCAATTGCATCACATAATCTGCAAAGACAAGATAATGGCCACCAGTATCTCTGCCAAGGACCTGGAACAGTCTCCCTTATATCCCTGCCAAGTGTCTCTACACATCTCTCCTCCATGTGTCACCTCCAACTACTTTTCCACATGTGTCTCCTCCCACGCCTTCATTACACATCCATTTATACATCCACCTCATTCCTTCCCAGCTGCTCCCCATTCAGACAGTTTGGTTACTGGCCTGCTGGGAGTTGTAGTCCAAAGTGTCTGCATGTAAGTGGGGGCAGGGAAATTCGTACCCATTCAATGTTCTTTCCCTTTTCATGGAGAAGTATCTATAACATAATCATGAGAAATATGAGAAAAAGGCATGCAAAATGAAATCACCACCTAGGATAGCAGACGAATACTAAATAATCAAAGGAGGTGAGCAGATAAAATATTAAGAGTACGTACTTACAATTTAGGGTGCCAGCATATTTCATTAATCTGGGAAAAGATCCTTTAAAACTTACTTTCCTTCTGCAACATAGGTATAAATCCGCCAAGGTTTTCTCCCATTGCTGTCTTGTCTCATCAGGAGCTTTCTTTGTGTTTTTCTTCCCTGCCAGTCAAGGCCATTGCTATCCAAGTTTCCAGGGCTGTTCTGTTCTCTGCACACCCTAGACACTCCTAGAGCTGGGCTGCATTTGACCAACAGGTGACACCCATGCTTTTCATATTATACATTGTGATTGTCCCACTGATGCTTCCCTCTCAGCTCAGCTGCCATGGTAACAAGTCCTCCGTCATTCTCTCCACATCGGTAAACCAGTGCTCTGGAGGGGAATAAACCAGAATACATAGACTTGATCATTCTTTTCTTAGTTCAGGGACAGTATTACTCCCAAAAAGCCCTTCATCATAATGTGTTCCTGGAGCTGAGAGTTTGCTTATATGACCAGGAATCTGAGGGTCCTCACAAGGTCCTCAAGAAAAAGATGATAAATATAGTGACAGATGGAGACAGAATGCTCACACCTGGCCCAGGCCCTGGTCCGGTTAATATCCTGCCTCGTCTTTCACACCATGCTTTCTACTCCCTGTAGAGACATGAAACAGCATATGAGGGAAAATAACTCGGGTCAAATAAAACAGCATGGATAAAAAGGCCTCCTGTGTGCCGACCCATTCTTCTCTGGACCTTGGCTGTAAATTCAAATAATAGCACCTGCGTCTTTGCAATGCAAAAGGAAGTCTGTGGATGGAGGTCAGGAATAAGCTTAAGAGCTTTGACCTCAAGAGACATTTGCTACTTGGAGTATTATTGACTTACTCATATAATCGACAGTTATTTTTCAGTAGGTACTATTTGTGGGGCATAGTGCTAGATGGGAAGAGTGGCGAACACACAAGTTAACTTGACCTTGACTCTCCTTGAGGGACTTATATTGAAGCTACTCAAAGAGCCTTGCAATGTCGTTTGTATCATTTAAATGACCGAAATGTGTATTTCTCATACTTGTTTGGTATGAGAAATCCATCCACACTTTCTGGCTCACAACACCTTAAACCCTTGCAATTTTCTAAATGTGAGTGATAAAGGGATCTATCTTTATGCTAATGAAGGTAACTTGAGAAAAATACCTGAGGGTGGGGCTGGTTGCCAGGGAAACAACCAGGTGATTTAAAGGCTGGAACTCTGATCCCAGACACTTGATTTTCTGTGAGGGGAGAGGAGCTGGAGGCTATTGAGTTAATTAATCATGTTTCGGTAATGAAGCCTTCATGAAAATCCAGAAAAAGGGGACTCTGAAGAACCTCCAGGTTGGTGATACGTGATTTGGCTTGGAGAGAAGGGGTCACTGGACCCCTGTGCCTTCCCACGAACCTGTTGATTCATGTCTTTTAGTGTCCAGTGTGAAAGGATGTGTGACCTAGTGAGTAAACAGGTCTCTGAGTTCTGTGTGCCACCTGTAAGGGCAGGAACAGGACACAGTGCAGGTTTTCCGATCCCATGCAGACCGGGTGAAGGAGGAGTCAGAGTCCTCAGTGGTTTTTTGCAGGTCTTTTATTGGAGTTCACCAGGCATATGGCAGGCAGGGGTGCTGGGGGGCCGGGAGGCTGGCAGGCCTCCCAGCCCCCAGCAAATCCTCACTATCTGGGCTCTCTGGCCTTCTCTGCTTCTGCTTCGGGCTTCTTCTCTTTTGGCTTCTGCTGCTTCTCCTGGCGTCCCCGTGACGCCGCCCTTAAAAAAGCGCAGTCTTAGCGCAGTTGTAACCATTTCAGGTGCCCGCCATCAGGCATGCATTCAGGATCACAGGGTTCCCTAATCTATCCTGATGGCGGGAGGGCAGAAAAGCCTGGTTTTTAGCCTTACCCTACAGTCCACCTCCTCAGGGTTTTCTGCCATATAATCCACACAAACACAACTTTGTTTCTTAGCAAACACAAACAAAGCAGCCATGGCCCACAAAAACAAATACATCTCAATATAACAAAATACAACAGAACACAAATAAGTCCAGGCAGGGCCCCAACCTAGTGCAAAAGACAATTACTGGTACCAACAGATGAGCCACCAAATCTGCTGCCGAAGGCACTGCTCATACGGGGAGGGGAATCTCTCACAGCATCTACTGTAACACACCAGGAGCCGTCAGGCTTCCTGGCCTTCTCTGGCTGTAGTCTCGGCTACAAGCCACACACCGCATCCACCCCCAGGATGCACTCGCTCTGGGATTGGCGATTCTATTCTGTTGGGGGTAATCGCCAACCCTCAGGGTTTCTGTCTGCAGTCGCTCCAACACTCGGCCTTCATGGCCACCCATGTGACTCGCAGACCCCTGCACTCAGGCCAACCCACTGCACAAGCACATGGGTCGGGGATCCAAACTCTATATGCGGCTTGGGCTCCACCCTAGGCCATGTTCCCCACCCGTCCCCCAAGGACAGGTTCCTCAGCTCCTCACCCTCACTCGACAATGAGCAGGGCATCACCCACAGGTGATTTTACGAGACTCACAGGGCTTCAGCATACTCAGGCTGCTTAACATCCACTCAGGGCTTCCCAAACTTAGCATCAGCACCAGCTTTTGCCTTCTCAGTTGGCTTTTCTCCTCCACCTGGCTGTTGGGCATGCACAGGCTGCTTTTGGCCATCAAGGCCCTCTGGCCACCCCCAGATTCCCATCTCCTGGGGTTTACAAACAAAACTGTTCCACCCCCAGGGTCCCAAAACATATCAACCTGCAAGGTCCTTCACCTTCTGGTGGGATTGTCAGTCCAAGTTCAATTGTCAGTCTATCAGTCCAAGTCTCTTGGCCTCTCCCTGAATCAGTACTGGCGAGCTCCAAATCTTGGTCCTCTCTTTGCCGATGATTCTTGCTGCCTCAGGGGTCTTTGTCTGGTCCTTTCGGGTGTCGATGGCTGGTCCTCTCAGGTGTCTCCTCCTCCAGGTGTGGTCTTGTCCTGTAGATCCTGGACCTTGTCCATCTCCTGGGTCACCATGATGCCTCCAGCGTCATCACAGGGAAACAGTCTGTTACTCCTTGTCCCTCCAGGTCTTCAGAGGGCTCCATACCCATCTGCATGGATCATCTTGCCAACTTACGCCAATTGTAAGGGCAGGTACAGGACACAGTGCAGGTTTTCCGATCCCATGCAGACAGGGTGAAGGAGGAGTCAAGAGTCCTCAGTGGTTTTTTGCAGGTCTTTTATTGGAGTTCACCAGGCATATGGCAGGCAGGGGTGCTGGGGGGCCAGGAGGCTGGCAGGCCTCCGAGCCCCCAGCAAATCCTCACTCTATCTGGGCTCTCTGGCCTTCTCTGCTTCTGCTTCGGGCTTCTTCTCTTTCGGCTTCTCTTTCGGCTTCTGCTGCTTCTCCTGGCGTCCCCGTGACGCCGCCCTTAAAAAAAAAAGCACAGTCTTAGCACAGGTGTACCCACTTCAGGTGCCGCCATCAGGCATGCACCCAGGATCACAGGGTTCCCTCATCTATCCTGATGGCGGGAGGGCAGAAAAGCCTGATTTTTTTACCTTACCCTACATACCCTAGCAAGTATATTGAACCTGAAGAAGGTGTTCTAGGAACCTCTGAATTACAGCCAGCCCTTCAAAAGCACAGGTAATAATCTGGGTGTGCCAAGGGCACCTAGAATCTGAAAAGAGATTCCTCGGAACCTCTGGTCTGTAGCCAGCTGGTCCTGGCCAGGCACGTGAAGTGGAAGGCCACTCAGGAGACTGAGCCTTAACCTATGGAATCTGTTGCTCCCCAGGGAGGTAATGTTAGCGTTGCCAGTGTGGTGAAGCATCCACACGCTCCTTGGGATTGAGCCCAGGACACCACCCCTTACGGGGGGGCTCCGTGGACTCTGCCTGGCCTGTGGGTTGTGACTCACCCACAATAATTAAGAAGAGAAATTTAAAGCATGTATTTAGTAACTTGCATAATAAGGCTGTTTGCTGAATTTAGTGAAAATTAAAGTTTGCATTTTATGTCTTATTTTGACTTCATTTTCTATAAATCAATGTTTTATAACAGTATGGGGCTACAGTGGACTAGAAACTAAAAAACCGATTTGTTCTTCATGCGCAGTTTGAACAGCACTGGGTCTAACATACACATGCCTAAAATAGAAGGCAGAGAAGAATAAATGTCTTAAAAAGCTGGAAATAGTTCAACAATCTAGAGAGAAAGAAAGATTCTGAAAATTATGGGTGCAGTGGTACCAGAAGTCTAGGAAGCCTCGCCTTTCCACTGCTCCACTAGCCTCCTCCAAGTCTTCTCCCCCAGGCCTTCTGCCCCAAGTCCTTTTGAGCTTCTCCTTAGCCTTAGCCTTCTCCTTAGCTTAGCCTTTCCAAGCTACACAAAAATTAATCAAAAGAATTGAAAATAAAAAATTATTATTATTGATCATAACAATAGAACTAGTCCATGTAATATTAAATATCCAGATATAACATTTAGGTATGTAACTGTTAGAACCAAATGTAAAGAAGATTCTAGAAATGACAACAGTTTCCTTCCAGAAAGAATGAAGAGTGGTTGGAAGCAAGGACATTCTCAAAAATAACTAATGATGTCTCAGACAGTTAGTAGGCAAAATGAGGCGGTACCCCAGGATCCCCAAACTTTGCATGCTCTAAATAGGTTCTACCATCTACTGCATAAAGATAAAACACACTCTTAATGTATTAGACTTTCAATAGAAAAGAACTTTAATAGAATTAGTATGCAATAGAGAGAAGAGAAAGAATATGGTTTCTAATTAAACACCTAAAGTTACCCATCCCCTAATGGGTAAATGCCCAGCCAAAAAGTAGAGCCCAAAGTAGAGCCACTGAGGCCCAATAGCTTGCCACAAGTCTAAGGCACCTTAAGAATCAAAAGGAGGGCCTCCCCCGTGGCACATGGGTTAGGACACAGCCTAACCCATGAAGCTGTCTGCAGCCACTGCAGCACGAGTTTGATCCCCGGCCAGGGAGCTACCCACATGGCACAGCAGACCTCTCCTGGCTGGCCCACTGCTCCCCTCAGCGGTGTACTTCAGTCAATCTGCCTATTCTGCTCCCCACCCCACTCTGTCTCTGGTGAATCCTCTCACCCCCTGCACCTCTGGACTGTACCCCAGTTCTCTTATGCATAATAAACAGTCTGGAAGGAAAAGAGCAAAATCCAAGTTCAAGATAAAGGCTGCCATTGTCAGCCTCCCCAAATGTCTCTTTCATGTGTCTCCTTCCATGCCCCACAAGCCCCTGGTGCCTGTCCAATGCTGAGAAGCAAGTGTGACATTTGCTTCACATGTCTCTGCTCCCCTTGCCTCCTCCAAGTCTTCTCCCCCAGGCCTTCTGTCCCAAGTCCTTTTAGCTTCTCCTTGCTGCTCAGCTCCACCCTTCCTTAGGTGGGGCAGGGAACCTGAAAGCTCCACTTTCTACAGGGATTACACTGCTACAAGCCTATGGAAGGATTGGGACAGGGAACATGGGAAGACTCCAGGGTAAGTACCTCACTGTGCATTCTATAGTCACTTTCCTTCACCCTATAAGTGATATTCTGAGGCTACTGTGGTGGAGTTGGCGGGGCAATATTTTTCTCTAGTCTAGCAGATTGCAGAAGCCAAGTAAGTAATAATATCCTAGCAGCAAGTGTTTCAACCAAGACCTGTAAGCAAAAGAGGCAGATTAAAAGGAGGAAAGTGTCTGTAACCACACCAAATCAACTGCTTACAGGCTGCAGGGTTTCTCTGACACTCAAACACTGTTAAGGGCCTGCTTACACCACAGGTGGGAATAACCAAGCTCTGAAGGACAACCACCCTTCGGGATAGAATCCTGTCCCACATCAGTGAGGTGGTTTCTGCTATAGGAGTTTCACCAAAACCAGAGATTAATCAGAGGCAAAGTTACCAATAGTAGAAGCTGTCATTCTTGGGATGCTGAGAAATTATCAACATCTAACTCCAGTTTTCATGTTGTAAAAGAAGAGTTCAGGCTTTGGAGATAAACTTTTCTCTGGTACAGTAGGACAGACTACCCACCTTTCTAAAAATCATAAATCTATAACTTTAATGACACAGAGAGAATTCTATCAGCATCTATATAGATAAGGCAGGTTACTTAAGAAATGGGAAGATACCAAACAGATTGATCATAGGGTTACGTACCAGGAAACAATGATGGCAGAAGGTTAAGGGACAGACAAACATAGTTTGGCCACTCACTTACTATGTGACTTCCCACTAATACAAGTTATTTGAACTTTCTGCCCCCCAGTTTCCTCCTTTGCAAGTTAAGATGACCCTAACATAAAATTAGGTTCTATATACTCTTCCAGGTCCAGAGATATCATGAAAGGGACCAAGAAGGAGCATGTATCAAATACTGAAGTCAAGGAGCTCACCGCCAAAAGCATTAAAATATACAAATTAAGAACTGGTGGAGATATATGGGGAAACTTTCAATAAGGAGGTATCCTTATAAACTTCTCTAACCCTTGTCTTATCAAGCAGAAAACAAATCAATAAGGCAAAAATTAATTTAAATAGTATAATCAGGGCCTCCCCGGTGGCGCAGCAGTTGAGCGCTGGGTTGCGAACCTGCCCGAGGCCTCCGCGGCGCTGGTTCGATCCCCGGCTGCTCCCCAGCCACCAGAGGAGGGTCCCACATGGCGCGCAGACCTCTCCTGCCGCCCGCTGCTCCCCTCAGCAGTGTACTTCGGTCCTTCTGCCTGCTCTGCTCCCCGCTCTGGCTCTGGTGAATTCTCTCACCCTCCCGCGCTTCTGACTGTACCCAGTGCTTGTATAAACAAAAAAAAAAAAAACAAACAAACAAATAAATAAATAAACATGCCTCTATAAAATTAAAAAAAAATAAATAAATAAATAAATAGTATAATCAGATAGAGAAATAGCTATCTTATATCCCATAACCAAGAATAACTTTCAGTGAATTCAAGAAGCATTTACAAAAATGTCCCCAAAGAAACTTTCAAAAAGTGAAAATAGTATAGGCCACATTCTTCAATCACTTGCAACAAAACAAAAAAAATATATAAAATCTGAAACACTATTAACAACTCCTCTGCTCAACAAATGGAAATTACAACAAATCTCTATGTCTCTAACATGAAGGAAACATAAAACCACATATGCAAAACATACAGACAACGCAGTAATAATATTTCATCCAAAAAATCTCTAAGATATAGAAAAAACAAATGAAGATTCACATCATGCACATTTGTAACACTTTTGCAAACAAAAGTGTAAATAATAAGATGACAATTTACTCAAAAGTCTAGAAAAAACACTACAAAAATAAATAGGGAAGCAGAAAGGTGGAATTCGGGAAAAAGAGATTAATAGAGCAGAAAACAAAAACAAATGAAGGCTGTAATAACTCAAAAAAATTGATTATTTGAAAATCCATTAAAACAGATAAACCAGTAGCTGCTCAATGACCCAAAGAGAGACAATTCAATATTCAACATTCAGAATGAGAAATGGAAACTATACAAGAGCCAATAAACATGTAAAGAAATATTCAAACTCACAAATAATTTCATTAATACTAATAAAATCATTATAGAGGTATCACTTTTTGCTATGAGACTGGCAAAGACATTGTCACTGACACAACATCTAATAAAATACATGTCATTTTTAAATTATAGATTTATATTTATTGACTTGAAAAGATAAAGCAAAAAAAAAAATGAGGTGAACTGTAAAATGGTTAATCAAAAAATATTTTGAACACCTACACTATACCAGCCATATAGATATTGTAGAAAGCAATAATAAACAAGACAGAAAAAGTTGGACCTACACAGAACTTGGATCAAGAACATAAACCACTCTATCAAGTAACACCCTTGATCGCCCCATATAAACGGAAGTTATCTATGTTTAATAGGATTTGACCTAATTGCAACTTTCTTTTTCATTCCTGTTTGTACTGTTTCAAAAGGTTTAAAATGCATATATTTGGTTATTTTCATCAGAAAAAAAGTAATGCTGAGAGGGTTGAATTCATTTTGATTGAGGACACAGTGGACATGGTTTTTAAATAGTGCTAGAAAATAAGGGCAGATTTTGCATTTGCTCAGTTGCAGAGTATTTCCCATTATGATTGATGTGCTATTATTTATTAAATGCAAAATAAGAACAATATGCTTACCCATATAAACACTCAATGATTCTAACACAAAATGTTATGTCTAAAGTTAGCAAATCCAGAAATCTTTTGGACCCCAATCATCTAATGACTACCAAAAAAAAAAAATCAAATAACAACATCTCTTGTGAGGCATTAAATAGTCAGTGTTTCTCCCTAATCGAAATGTAAGCCAACAGTGAGCTCCTGAGTAGCTCCAGGAGATGGTAACTCCATCGCCACACTGGCAAT